TCAATCAATTCTTCTCATCATCAAACACAAAACCCAAACAAAAAAACAAAAAACAGAAAATTTTTTTAATTTTTGCCCCTGGGTTTGAAAGAACCCAGGGATGGGTTCCTTGGAACCCAGCATCGGGTTCAAAGGAACACAACATCGGGTTCCTTCGAACCCAACGCCTGGGTTCCAAGGAACCCAGGAACCCATGACCCCAGTGGAAAGAGAATGGGAAGGAGAAAGGGAAAAAAAAAGAAGAAGAGTTTTTTAAGTATTTCTTTGCTTATTAATATTTTTTACCATATTATTATTGTTTTCCATATCACTATTTGTTTGCCATGTTGTCTTCCACGTATTTTGACATGTCATAGTGTTACCGTGAATTAATAGGACACGTCATGTGATTTTTAACGGAGGGACCAAGTCGGGGTTAAAATGGTAAACAGTAGGGACCAAGTTAGGGATTTTTTGAGTTAAGGGACTTAATCGGGGGTCCGTACAATAGTTGAGGGACAAAAAGGGGGTTTAACCATTAATATATTATCCATACAAGTAATTCACAAGTAGTTGTTAAGTTCGCCATAAAGAATAGAAGTTAAATTGCCTAAATCGCCATTAGATTTGAAGCAGCTAAGGTCATTCCACCTCTCACCGATAGTGAAATTTGCTCTCTCTCTTTATCAATTCGACTATCGGGACCTTCCGTGCATGGTTAGCTCCTTGTGTCAAATATACTTTTGCTCCACTAGTGACAACGGGTGAACAGATTGAGGATAGACTTAAGATAGGCATAATTATGGACTTTTAAGCCATCTAGAAACAATTAGAACAAGTCAAAATGGGTAGTGCCAGATCTGCTTCAAAGAAGTTTGCACTGAGAGGAAAAAAAGAAATGAAGAAGCTTTGAGTCATATTTTCTCTTGTCACGCAAAACTAGTTTATAAAGTGGCAAAGATTCTAGCCTTTAGGCTTACCTCCTACTTTCAAAGGAGGCCAAACTTTAATGCTCATGCTCCAGTTAGGCAACAATTCCCATCGACGAATAGGCCAAGACAATTCACCAAGCTTCCAATCCCTTACAGTGAGGTGTTGAAACAATTAGTGGCAGTGGATTTGGTGGAAACATTGCAAACGTACCCTATTCGACAACCTTATTTGCATTGGTATGATTTACAAGCTAAATGTGAATATCACAATGTAGTGGGTCATAGTACTAAGTATTGTACAGCTTCGAAGCATAAAATTCAAGATCTCATTGATGAGGGTAAACTTGAGCTTGATGCTAAGGAAGCCAAGGATGCTCCAAACATCACTCAAAATCCTTTACCTCCATATGATGCAAACATAATGAATATGGTCACCTTTGATGAGGTTGAAAAGTCGGTGTTGGAGAATGCCATTTCTTGGTCTGTTGATGAATTGTTTGCCATCTTGATAAAGTATGATTTGATTCAGCCAATTGTGCAAATGAGCTTAAATGTTTCACCTGCGATGATTGATGATGCCTTAGTGTGTCCTTGCCACTCCAATATGAAGGGGCATACTTTACTAGATTGTGAAGATTTTCAGAAAAAGGTTAAGGAGTTGCAAGTAATGGGATCTTTGAAGTTTGTGTTTACTCAGGTGTCAGAAAAATGTATAGCACAGTTTGAGGAGGTGGTTGATATCATTAATGAGGTCTGTTCTGATAATAAAGAAGACTATTTTGGCTTCAACAATCTCTTTGGGTCGGCCAACATGGCAGATCCTAAGGAAAGGTGGAGGGGGATACTAGCTGAAAGGACATTTATGGAGAAGCACCCCAACTTCCATCTTGTGCATCATGTGAAAGCTCCAATGGGTTCACATGAGTCTATGCCTCTTGAATCAATGAAAGAAGAATCACTATGTGACTCATGGGGAAATTTGACTATGAATGCTCTAGATGAGGAAGAACCGGAATTTGATGAGGGAATTTCACTAGTCAATGGAAGCTTTCAGGCTAATTGGACAGCAGAACTTCTCCCTGCAACTTTCATCTTTGAGTAAAAGGAGTCAGCCTCTAGTAGTTTTGCTTGTTACTACGTGAAAGGAGGGATTCAACAAGCACTTTTATATTTTCTGAAATTTATGTTATCATGCTTCTAGTATTCCCATGCTTTCCTTTTCGATGAAACATGTTGCAATCCTACCCATCATTGTAAAAATCATCATGAAGCAACTTTACTTGAACTTTCATTGTACAAGCCACTTTTAACATGTTCTTATCTTTGCTTTATTATTATTTGGCCATTTATTTACTTCCATCCATAATTTTCAGGCTTGCTAATGATGAATCTTTAAACAATGACGCCATATCAGACATTATATATGAAATGGATGATCAGACCTATAATGAAGAAGACCATGAAAGTCTTGATCCTTCTCATAAACTAACTCAAATGCTAAGAGAGGAAAAGCCAATGCTGCAACCAAATCAAGGGCTAGAAACCATTAATCAGGGCATTGAAGATGACAAAAAGGAGATAAAAATCAATGCTCAAAGGAGAGAAAAAAGAGTTGATAGTCTCAACTTGTTTGATGAGAAAAGATTGGCAACTGTTAGTTATGGCCAATGTTATCAGTGACAAATGGCAACAGTATACAACAAGAAAGTCAGACCTAAAGTGTTTCACCAAGGAGTTCTCGTCTTAAGGAAGATCATGCTAAATGAAAGGGACCCTAGGGGCAAATTTGCACCCAGCTATAAAAGGCCCTATGTTGTTAAAGAAGCTTTCTTTAGATGAACACTCTTGTTGAGATATCCATATGGAATTAATTATCATCATCTAGTGAATGCCAATATTATTAACAAAAGAAAAAAAGAGAGTTAGGTCAAAACCGAGAAGGGCAGCCTAACAAGTTAAATGTTTCCTTGACTTGGAAAATGGAAATCCAATGATGAAAGGCCTTGTTTCTCCATCCTAAACAGTTGAACATTACCCTTTTGCTTACCCTTTTTGAGCCATAAAAAGGTAATCATTCAAATTTACAAAAGCCAGATAATTTGCTTTCTATTAACCCATATTAATGACCAGGGAAGTGAAGAGAGGAATATGAGGGGAATATATGGATTTAAGCCTTTATCCTTTCTTTCATTGTAACCTAACCAAGCCATGTTACAAG